GGGGGGGGCGCGGTTCGGGGGTTTTTTGGTTTGGTTTGGTTTTTTTACATAGGGAATCTTAGGATGCAGATTAGCCAGCTAGAACACGTCATTTACTTTAAGAGACACATCAGCTTAATGAAGTAACTCAAGGAAACTTGCATTTAATTGTTGGGAATGATATACGCTGAGCCTGACCCTCCTTTGCCTGCCAGATCACCAACTCGTATTCTGAAGCCCCGCAGAACACTGAGCCAGTAGTGTTCTTTTCTAATAACCATCCTGGCTAGATCAGCAGATGAAACAGAACTTTAGATCAGTGGCAGGTCTCCCAAGTTCCTATGGTGCCATAGATTTACTAAATGGGATCAGCATGTTCTAAAAAACCATGATAATATGAGGGAAAAAGGTTCCACAGCATCAAGCAGTGCAATGCTTGAAACCTCATAATCAAAGTGACAGTTTTCAAGTGCCATTTACAATGCCCTAATCTGGAAATATCCCAGCTAACCCATCTGATCAACTATTTCACAGATGGAAGCACTTGATGGCTAATTGGCAAGTCCATTATTCAAATAAAATAGCTATCTGCACTTCTATTTTCTATATTCCAAGTCAAGGTGTAAACACTCCTTATAAGACACAGGTCACTCCTCTGTCTCTCCTTATCTTCCCATTTGGATTTTTTCCGTTCCCCTCTGCCATCAAATATGTTAATTCAGAAATACAGAACCACTTTTATTTTCCATTTATTGCACTAGAACAGCTATCTGCACCAACAGAGCAATGTGAACGAGTATTTTCAAAAACCCACCAAGTAATGAAAAACTATTTCAGTAACATTTTTTAAAAGTGTCATTTATTTCACATCTGGATTGAAAAAAAACAGACAGGATATGTTAGCATGGACATGAATTTATATAGCTTGGATTATTGTTCTGAAAGTGTTGGGGAGAGAGAGCTCTGCTAAAAATGCAGTTAATTTGCTCACACTCTTAAACAGTATCCAGTAGGATTGCCTAATAGAGGCATATGTAGAACCGATTTCACTAGCAAACAATAGTTCAGCGTACAAAATGAAGAGGAGTGTTGCTCCAAATTCCTGCCCGCTACGTAAGTAGAATGCTTTTACATACCCCACAAAGCCTGTTAATTTATCTGCAGCAAAAGTACAATGCAAAGTGAAGTATTAAATCACTAGTGAAATTCTGTGGTAGGTAGTATTCCAAGGGGATGAACAGGGAGAGATGGAAAAGAACAAACCAGGAAAGGGAAGATAATAACTAAAAAAACCCTACATGACAAGGGGTGGGAGGAGGAAGAGAGGAGACCATACAAAAGAAGGAAAACAAGGGCATTGCCAAAATCTGAATTCCCATGAACTACAGAAGGGAAATTAAAGTAACAAGCATTTTGTTTGGGACATCACACTACTTTCAAACTTTAACTGTTCCCCCACATCTTTTTTAAAAAGCTTCAATCACTCATTCTTTTTACACATATATCATGAGAGCAGAAATTCAAATGCCTACAATACCAGGCATGTAAGACACAAATAATTTCTGCATGAAGCAGCATTGCAAAGGAGGTCTTGTTTATGGTATCAAGTTCAAAACTAAACACGGGTACCTTCCCATACAAAGAACACGAAATTAATGACAAATTTCACTGCCAGAAAATACTGTGGATGGCTTATGTGATGTGAAAAGCTATCACAATTCTCTTCCTCCTCTCTTGTCCACCTGCTGCCCCATGAAGACAGTCCTTCGTCCATCTAAGACTAAAAGAGAGGAAATGACTCAAAATTTCTAAGCCACATGTCACTGGAGGGAAAGCTAATTGTTGAAATATCACTTCAAGATCACTTCCTTAATGATTTGTTTATTAGCCATATGAAGACAGGCTTAGGGTCGATGGAATTCAGCACTGACCACCTCTGGACAATTCAACATTGAAGACCCATCAGCCACTCAATAGCATGCTGAAGGAGCCAGTAGTAAAAAAAGAGAAGAACCATGAATTCACTGGAAGCAGTTTGCAAGTGGAATACAAGACACCAAAAGACTTGAAAGTTGTAAAAACATGAATCCAAAGAGCACTTGGGACAACATATTTGAGTTTGGAAATGAAGAAAAACAAACAAACAAAAAACCCAAACAATAATAATCAGAAGAGGTGGTTTTACCAAGGGGAAAGAGCCGAGTAACTACTGTTGAAGAAGCTAAGGCAAGTCAATGAGAAAGAATTCCTTGGCAGGGATCAAATAGGAACTGTGCTGACCAAGCATTTGCTGTTACTTGAACATTAGTTACAAAGCAAATCAAACAGACTGTTAGCAGACCTTATGTGATGCAGTCCTCTTGCTAAGCAAACCCCTAGCTACAAGAAAAAAAGAAAATCCCCAAACTGTGTTATAAAATTTCTTTGAAAATGCTTCTCTTTTTCTACAAGCCTATACACACAGATGATTCTTATGTTAGCAAGAATGACTTACTCAGATGTTTTTACTGTGTTCAATCTTAAAAGCAAAACCTCCAAAGGCAGAACAACTGTGACACAGCAATAAGAAAAACAAAAAGCTTTTTACAGTTGTTTAAAACACTCTAGTGCAAATGAATGGTAATAACTTCGTTTACTTTCTAGCAGGACAAAGTATGTCCAAGAAATACCTGACTTCTCTCTTCCACCTCAAAGCCATCTGATTCACTCTGGATTATCTCAATTATCAATCAATCAATATTCAGAACAGAAGTGGTCTTTGCAGGTCCACTGAAACACTGTATTTTAAAGACATAAAATTATTCTTTATGAAAAGCCTTCCTACTGATTCAATAAATCGGAAGACTACAAAAGTAGTCAAGATATCCAGTGCAAGCAGCAACTTGCATAAAGAGCAATTCAGTTTCCCGTCTTTTTTTTTTTTAATCCAACACACACTCATCAATTCATTTAAGAGACAATTCCATATTTAAACAAACACAGAGCAGCTTTGCAGGCCAAAGCTGCCAGAGGAGTTCAGCGAGCTTCTTCTGAATGTTTTATTGTCTGCCACAATTTTCTAGCAAGCTTTAAGTTAAAGCTGAGAAATTCAGAAAGCAGCAGAGAGAGTTAACTGTAAATCTGAAAAACAGCTTTGATATGCGTCAAGTTCAGAGAGGACTAAGAAGTGAAAGCTTGAGTGATTAGACTGCGCAGATGTTAAAAAAATGAAGAGTCATGAAGCAGGCTGGCAGCTCAGAGGAACAAGAGAAATAACTGTTTAAGAAAGTGAAACTAAAAATAACTGAGGGCTGCTTGAAGATTCACTAAGAGAGCGTGAATAGAATTTTAGCTATAAAAAGGAAAAAAATTATGCACCAAAAATTATGCCAAATTATGCACAGCTTATTTGGCAAAACACCTAGAGGCTGTAAATCAGCTCAGAATATTTCAACAAATGCTTCAGTATTAAACTACTCCTTCCCTAGTTATACTGGACACAAACACACTACACACAACCAAAAGAAGCTGTGGGTTTAGCAATTTCAATCATCCCAGAAGCAAACTCACCATGAAGCCTAAGACAAACAGAACTGATTCCTCCAGAAGAACAAGAGTCTGGATTCTCGATTTAGAACAGAGCCCCGGAGGCAGATGAGGAAAGCAGAGAAAGGCCAGCTACTGCAGCCAGCCAAGGCTACAAAGGAAACTACACTGGAGCCCTTTTCTTAAGGAAATAATTCTTCCTACAAGCCTCAGCCAAAGAAGTTCCTAATTATTTTTTTTCCCCTGTATCCATAGTAGTCAGCACAATGTAATAAGATCAGCTTGGTTTTATTTTTGAAGACTGCTGGCCACACCAGTTGGCCAAGGAAAAAAGCACTAGGACTTGCTCTAGTGGTAGGAGAAGCCATACAATGCGTGTGGGTCTCCCACTGGAACAGGACAGCTGCCAGGGAGCCCTTTTTGCTGTGAGTAGAGTTACAGAAGTGAGGACAACACAACAAGAGAAGACACAATAAAACACACATATAGGTGGCTACAACTACCTGCAAGTGATAAATTCAACTCAAATTACCTCCCGAAATTTACATATACTTCAGTATCTTACAATGCCCATCACAATGTGATCCAAGGACTGAAATATATCATTTATAAAGAAGCAAGTGGGTATGCTCAGCCATTTAGAACAATCTTCACGTTCTGAAAATCCATATTATTGGAAACTGATTTTTTAATTTTATTCTGTGTTTCCAATGCTTTTCAATCTGAACTTCAAAATGTTCAGACACCAATTTAAAGGTTTATAAATATTCTGTAAACTCAGTGCCAACACAAGGCAAAAAAAAACCCCGGTCAGGTTGTAACAATGATTTGCACATACTTACATAGGATCTCTAGAGTCAGAGATTATTACTATGAACTCTGTTTTTTTGATGCTGTTTTTAAATATAATAAAAGGAATATTCCAGAATTAATTAATATTAAAGAGACGATATTGACAAGCTATATACTAACCTGTCCCAGCCCAGGCATACCTCCTCCAAGACGCAGAAGTCTATCCATATTTCTAGAAAAACAAAAAAAAAAAAGGAAAAATGTTCCCAAGCTCTGAAGTGTTTACTAAATTGCTATCTATATAATTCACCTTCAGTCACTCAGTATGTCAAAAATATTGGTGGTAATTACAACACAACATCAGACTTCCTGTTAATTAACACCACATATTAATTCAAGAAGCTGTCTTCCATGCTAATTAACAGACCTTGTTTTATTGCTTTGGTTTTGGGTTATCCCCATTTCTGAAGATGAACACTTTTGTCAAACTTTTCAAAACTTTCCTATCATTCAATTAATTGGAGGACATTTGTAGCTTAAGAACAGCACCTACATCGAGGAAGCGCCTAAAACTTACTAGGTATACAATCAAGTTTACTCCAATTCGTTCAGAAAGCATCAACAAAAATGTGAAAGTAAGGATTTTAGCATCCTCATTAGTAAGTTCTGCGCTAATTAACTTACAGCTTGTCAGTTATCATCAAAACTACATGTGAAAGACACTGAGCAGATTATGGATCTCTGAATTAGCATCAAAAGCTTTTTTTTAATGAACTCATTATACTAAAAGAAATACTGTAAAGTAAACATTTAATGTGTATATAGTTAGAACACTAGTGACAGTACAGTCATTTAATACATTTCCAGTGTTGCATGTGCCATTGCTCTAGTGCAAGATTATTCCAATCAATGCAGCTAACTCGTTACCTTAAAAAAAACCCCACAAAACCAAATTTTCTATCTTGCAACTTTCAAAGGAGTGATCTCCAGAAATAAGAATTGTTAACTGTAAAAAAATTACACTGATTTTTATTTCTCTGCAGTTTATTCGTTTTCTATTGTTGAAAAGCAATCTACTATTTAACTGTGGATACCTAAGTAAGGGTTCTGTACCAGCTGTAACAGACTTTTATCCTGCTTACTTGGCTTTTTCAACTTCTTCGCTTTAAACAACAAAACTCAGTGGTAAAATAAACAAAAACTACTGAATATTACTTTTTAAACAGCTGCTTTCAGTAAATCAAGCAATTGCCAAGGCTTATAGAAATTAAATTTTACTGGCTTATTTTATTTGTGAAATAGAAGATACAAAGTAAGGCATCAGAAACGATGATCTTAACTGCACAAGTTTTAATCCAACACAACAAAGCCTGTTCGGCTGATATAAGAGCAATCAAGAACAGCAAGTAATGATATTTCCAAAATACATTCATCCTCCAAATGGATGTTACATTACACGTAAGAGAATTATACACATAATTTCAACAGACTGCATTAACAATACTAATTCAAGAGCCTTCTTTTAAAATTAATTATGCAAAAGAACTTTGAACTTCTAATGAAAAATAGATTTGCTTTGTATATTGAAAATAAAAAAGTCTTTATGTTGAAGGTAAACGTCATCTCATTATTCCTTCTGAAATTTGCTAATATTTTTACTGGCTAGATACTAACAGGTTTTATTTCAGTTTAAGTTTAAAACAAGTATTTTAAGCTTCTTGTTAACACACAAAGAGGTAGCATTTGAACCTACCACTAGATAAGATTATCTAACTCCTACTTTAATCATGTATGGAATTTCACCCATTTCAAACAACAATATCTAAGACACATGAATCAATAACACTTGCTCCTTTTGCTAATTTCACTTTCCTAGTTTAATGCACTAGCAAGTTTCATTTGATTCACTCCTTTGATTTTGTAGAACATGCAAACCCAACAACTGGAGCCTCAACTAACAATAAGTACTTTCTTAAAGCTACCTTGGCACTATATGAATTAAAAAGGAGTTTATTAAAGGGTCAGTGGTTATGCTTTTCTTTTCAGACAGTCATTGAAACCAACCTTCTTTACTACAGGCAAAAGCTGCACACAAAGTGTATATACTTTTCTATCCCGAACTACAATAAATTCCAAATCAAGTTGTAGGATTTCCATGGAAAGGTTAAGTTGCTGTTTAAAGCTATTATGTAAGCACATGGTAAATGGCTTCAATAAAACATTCATGAGTACAATTAACACCAACTACATTTTGTTTTACCCCTCTGTGGTAGATACTCCTCCACTGAAACCCACAATGATTCATCTTTCATGACACTAACGAGGGCTGAAGAGTAGCTGAGAAGTAGACTTAAATTACTAAAATTATGATTTTAATCAATCATGGTTGTACATTTATTTTAAGAAACTCTTAGTCTCTACAACTGGTAACCATAAAACTGGTCTTTTCTACAACTACAGCAACTTCCATAAGCTTATGAGGTATAATTACCTATGTACATTTAAGAAATAATATTGAATAACAAATCTTATACCTATTTACATTTCACCTCAGCAAGTGAAAAGCAATAGTTATTTCTAGTTCATTAATATTTTATTTACAAAAGTTATTCCAGTTTCTAACCCAAGAGAATAGTACATCATTTACAGAAGCATATTTTGCTGCATTAAAGTTAGATTAGACTAATTAGTTACACAAATTTATTATTTATCAGCATAACTGGTTTTGGAACAACAAAATCTCATTGTCTTACAGAACTGGAGGGATGTAACATTTTCTATCACAGACTAACCACTGAACTGAAGATGTTCAGATTCTCAAGACAGTAGCACAGAGAGAAAATCTCCACAAACAGTTCTAAATGCGCTGCAGATTATTTCAATAGCTCTGTGGCTTGACTCTGGTTAGAGTTTTGGCAACTAATACTTTACTTTCTTATTTGTAACTAAAGATGTTTCAGTAGGTTATAGTATATTTAGACCTAAACATATTTGTTTACTCTGTATAAACACCTGAAGAATTTAGGTTAGCAATCCAAATTAAAACCAATTTTAATTTTTGTTAATCCACTGTGCCCAAATATTATTTCAGCCATAAATTCCATTTATGAAATACTGCTTTTCTAAACCTTGAGCAAAATTTTTAGACTTTAATTAAGATAACTTTAGCATTTACAAATAAAGCAAATATGCATTCCTAACCTGGTGCTCAGCAAGAGGTGATCGCAGAACAAACTCAGCAGGAGCTCCCACTTTTTGACTATAAAGATGATGCTAGTAGGTCTCTTTCCTATAGAAGGAAATAGAAAGAAGGGGAAGGGCAGAAAACCAGTAAAATTTAGAAACAGTAGCACATGTAAAAAGAAATGTTACATCGATGACCCACAAAAGGACAAAGCACCATTGAAGAATAACCCAAAGAATGCGGGTTTTTTTTCCGCTTTTACCATAGAATCCCGGGAAGCCATACACGCCATGTCTTGCTCAAGTATCTATAACACTGAAAGAGGTTTCCAAGTTTCTCAAAATTACATGGAAGAGTAAAGGATTTTAATAACCCATTTAAGCAATTTAAAGCTAATCAATAATTTAAAATGCTGTTAGAAACTGAAACTATGGTCCTTTATTACTATTTTAGAAGATTTTGCCATAGCTAAGATGACCTAAGCACAAAGGTAAAGAGCAGTCCGCAGGCATGGACAGTTTTCTTGTTTATTTCTGCAAGGGCAGCTGGTGTGACTGGGAAAGTCATAGAGGCCTTTACATTTGCCCGAATTCAGGTCGAGAAAGGCTGCTTCCCATTCAGTTTAGGAGTTAACAGTTGTATTATCCTCTTCCCAGAGAACACTGCCCACCAATTGCATCCACTCAATCATTTGCAGTGCAGTGTTTTAAAACAGATCTGTGGCCATGATTTGATAGACATTTTTTTCAATGTCAACGTTAACATAAGGAGCAGTGGGGAAGCTGCTGCTGCTGCTTACCGACTTGATGCTGCCTTCTCAGTACTGCCAGGACAGCCATTTGTGCAGCCTTGCAGTAAACTGATAGGCTAACAAAAATGTTGTTTTTAACCCTGTTCACTTCTCTGAGAGGATTCACACTGCATCCCAGAAACAGTTGTCTTGGCATGACAGAAAAAGAGGTCTTGGAAGAGCTGATTGCTTCTAACACTAATCCAGACTCCAGAAGACATTTATGTCAAATCATTCTTTAAGCTAAAGCTGCCCAAACAATGTCTTTGGTTTTGTTTTTTTTGTTTTTGTGGGGTGGGTTTTGTGGTTGGTTTTTTTTTTTTTTTTTGGTAAAGTAACTGAGGTAATTTAACAGAGACCATTCTGAACCTTCTCTCAAAGGAGTACAAGAGCAAAGGAAGATGTGTTAATCTTCCTGGGAAGTTAGAGGAGAACGAACAAATCAGTTTCCCAGTGCTGACAGGCTGGGGTGGAGTTCCACTAACAAGTCAAAAGAAAAATTGCTACATTTCTGCCAGCTTTGCACAAGGAAATGATCCAGGAGAGATCAGATGAGACAGGACCACAACAGCCAGCAGTTATATCAGCACAGGCTGCCACAGAACTGCAACCAGTTCACAAGCGGGCTTCAGAGTTACAACCCAATTCACTTTGAGCCAGCTGGCCACCCTTGCATTCCCTTCCCCATTTCCTACAAGGATATTAGAGAAACAGATCTCTGTGAGCTTGGTCGGTTTCCTGGGAGAGGCACACAACATGGCAACCTATAGTTGAGAATTTTTCCCCTCTCTGCTGCAAAGTGCAAAAAGGCTAGTTTTGATTACACACTTACCTGTTGTTTTTTCTCTATATATACACATATATACTTACAGATACATATAAAAAACACAGAAAAGTAAACAAACAGTTCACAGTAAATCTCGCCTCCTTTCCTTCCAAAGTCAGCAAAAGGTATTTTGATAATATTTCCTTCTGTCTGCAAGGAAAAGTTAACAGTCTCTGTTTAAAGTGAAGCTTTAAGGAAGTGAGTACACGCATCAAATAGTTCCATATCAGAAAATTGCAGAAGGCCAGTTATAATGAACTTGCATTTTGGTGCACTGCAGGATTTGGATGACATGCACGCATCATTGAGATCAATGTGGTCACTGATGGCTTTAAAAAAAAAAATTAAGTAGCTTCTCTGCTTGTGTATGTCCATGATTGAAACACCTCAGCTAAAAAACCTTGGTCATAGGATGGTATTTAAAAAATCCAAACCTTCATTACTGCCATTTAACTGTCCTAGCCTCAAAAGGGAAAAGTCTGTGGTTATTAATAATGCAGTGGAAGTATACACAGAGCATCTCAAAACTGATATGAAAACAGAAATTTTTTAAAAACCCATGTCTAATATTTGTTCATAGTACTACCGTTAGGTAACTGTAATAATTGGCAAGAGTTGTCCATTTGGAGAGCTCTGGTTCACCATTCAGTTGTTGGTTACTACCTTCAAGTCACTTAAATGTTGACTTAAATGCTGACTTTTAATAACGAAATTATTTTTCCTTAGGTAACATAGGGATGAAATTATATAAATGCATTATGCACAAATGTATATACACATCTAGGTATAAACCAATAGCTACTGTGCTTATACTTGGCATGTTTCAGCATGTATTTTGAAATCGACTTGAAACACAGTCTTAAATTACTGTATCTCTTTGCATGAGACACACGAGTTTCACACTACAGTGCACTATCTTTATCTAGCATTAACACTCCATGATGCGATCCCTCAATGAAAGAGGGTTCTCCTGGTTGACAACTTTTGAGTTAGTAAAAAAAAAAAAAAAAATTAGCTTCAACATACATGGAAGAGAAAACACTGGCTACTAAACTGCCCTATTAGTGGAGAGAGTATCAGGCTAGACTCAGGTGACAGCAATTTACTCCACACTTTGCAATTTGTACACCAAGTGACTTCACGCAAATCATTTCATCTTTGGTATCTCAGTTTCTCCACCTGAGACTACATACTAAGCTTTGTATAAGCACTTCCAGATCTCCTGTTGAGAAGTTCCACATAGCATATGGATTAGCAATTTTATTAACAGCAACTAAAAAAGTGGTTTAACGTTTTTGCTGCAACTATAACAATTTCAGCTTCAGTAGGGATGATGAACAGCTATGAAGGTAAATTAGTTGAGGAACTGCATCTTGCCGAGAAACATCATTTCACCAAGAAAAGAAAAAAAACTCACTGCAGGTAAAGTCACCAAACACAGAATGAAAGAAACTTGAACAAGAGACTTCACATATGACAAGGGAGGGGTGAAGTCTATCTTCCTATATATTTTGTATGAAAAGTGGAGGGAAAAAAAAAAACAACCATCAATTCTCAGTAATCTGTTCATTAAAGCTAAAGATTAACCAAGCCATGAATGAATGCAGTCTCAGTAGTGCTAATCCAGAGCTACATAACTACTTTGCTTCCATAATGTGCTCAGCTCTGTAAACCCAATGTTTCTGGACCATACAGACCCGAATCTCAATAGACCTGAGCTGGACTAGAAGGTAGGCAGGTTAGCTTCTCAGACTCTGCTTTCTGATTTCCAGAAGCACAGAAAACTTTATTCTACTACATTCATTGCTGAGTTGGAGTTACTGAAGTAACCCAGACCGAAGCAGACTACTCTAAAGCTACTTAAGTACATCCACAGAAAATTTACAGGTAAAGGAAGATTCATTAACAAATCACACCACCACAGAAACCCAAAAAATTAATTTTAATTGTACGCTATATATAAAGTAATGAGCTTCTCTGAAATCTGCAGAAGGGGGGGTAGACACACAACTGTTGTGGAATCATCCCCCGCCACCAGCTCCATCAAGTACTCATCACACCAGTTTTCTATTATTCAAGGTATCCTAACTACCTGTCCTTTCCCATCATCCTAAATGTTAGGAGATAATTGTAGCTACTATTAGTATACACTCCATAATGCCTGTCAAGACTGAATCACTTCCAAGAAAGTTTACAAACTGATTTATATTTTGGCATTATTTAATGTTAATTTTGAAGTATCCTCTAACTTCTCATTTTCTTAACCATAGATATCAAACAAATATCCCTGATGTGGCATTTTATAACAGCTGATGGAACACAAATTTCCCATTAAGCTACGGGCAAAACCTAGTTGCTCAAAGTCACACTAAGTGATTCAGAAGCAATTCACTTGCAAGCCAATTTCTGGATTTCTTCACAAACACAGATCTTTTCCTTGTTTCTATAACACAAGCCCACAAACGGTGCTTTTCTCAGCAGAATCGTCTTCCAAGTGTACTCCCTATATCCGAGGCATACAGTACACCTTGGACTCACAGGGGGTGACAGCTTTAAGATTAATACAAACCCGTCAGATTTTTCAGCTACATACAGCTTTCAAATACATTTGCATAAAACTTTTTTTAAAAAGTCAATCTCAATCCTTGTTGTTTTTCTGGTTTTCTACAGTGTACCGGAAGCAAGTACGGCTTTAAGAGATGACATCAGCACGCATTCAGATTTGTCAACTGTTTGCAAGTATCCAAGTACGTCACATAGATTTGTTCTGAAAACAAAACTTCAGTCTGCTGCACACTAGAAACAGCACTGCTAATTTTGATTATCGCGCCTTTCCTACTTAATTCCCCTTCGTCTTTCCTGACACGAGTTAAAGATTTCTTCCCCGCGTACGCCAGCCAGCGCTGTGCCGTCGCTTCCCCCCGC